TATCAGCAAAGTCCTCCGTATCAGCAGCTCATTCGGTTGCTGCATACGTATCAGCAAACTACTCCTCCGTATCAGCAAACTCATTCGGTTCCTTCCTCCGTATCACCAAACTCCTCCATATCAGCAAACTCCACCGTATCAGGAAACTCCTCCGTATCATGAGCAAACTCAAACTCCTCCGTATCAGCAAACTCCTCCGTATCAGGAAACTCCTTCGGTTGCTTCCTACGTATCACCAAACTCCTCCGTATCATTCCGTTGCTCATTCCGTTGCTCATTCAGTTGCTCATTCCTCGGTTGCTCATTTGGTTGCTCATTTGGTTGCTCATTCGGTTCCTTCATTCGGTTGCTCATTTGGTTGCTCATTTGGTTCCTTCATTCGGTTGCTCATTCGGTTCCTCATTCGGTTCCTTCATTTGGTTCCTCATTCGGTTCCTCATTCGGTTGCTCTATCGGTTGCTCTATCGGTTGCTCTATCGGTTGCTCATTCGGTTGCTTCCTTAAATATGAATAGTACACTCCTCATTTGGTTGTTGCTTATTTGGTTGCTTATTCGGTTGCTCATTCGGTTCCTCATTCGGTTGCTTGTTGGGTTGCTTGTTCTCACGATCCTCCCCCTCCTCCTCCTCCTCCTCCTCCATACGATTCATCTCCTCATAGTCAGCTGAATCAAAGGATAAGCTTCTTCCATCATACATAGGGTGTCCCCACTCATCAAAACAAAATTCTTTTGCACACTGAATACAGGGAGTTTCATTCTTTTCCCTTTTCATGACTGTCCTGTAGATCTCAAAGAACCATTCATGCTTATCGCCAACGCTCATCGATGGAGGCAACAGTGGCTTCGCGAATCTAGCAAGCTCTATTGCCTTTGCAAGATCTTTCTTCTTCAAGCAGTTCTTCTTTAAACAGCCAGCACAGGTCTCATTCAGCTCTTTGTTGTATGGTGTTGGCTTCTGGTCCCATTCCCAATCCTCCACCCATTTCCAGTCTTGATTCAATACGAATTGGACCCGTGGTGAGGGATCGTCTATTATTTCAGGGGGAGGGGGCTCAGGGGCTTCTGGAGGAGGTACAGAGGGGTCCATTACAATCTGTATTTTCCATCCAATCCCTGGATCGATGTCCTTAATCAACTGTGCTGCTTCCCTTGCCTTTGATGCTGGGTGCCACTTCATCTCCATGTTGC